CCTGTTTCTCCGGGTTTGGAAGATGATCACCTGCATCAGAATCACAGGAGTGGAGGTGGAGTGTTTGTTAGAAATGCACATTAGTGAGTTTCACATTCTAAGGTCCAGGAAAGCACCCCGATCTGACTCTGGTTCCAGCTGCCAGCTTGCTCCCCAGTACGCTTCCCCTCCAACATGCGGGGGGAAGCCTTGTTCCCTCAAGTAGCCCCCTCGGTCACTGAGTTCAAGAGGCCAAGTGAGAGACATAGCCATGGGGAGAAGTTCCCTGGTTTGCTCTGGCCTCTTGCGGTGGACGCCCAGCCCATCATCTCCCCTCGGTTATAGGAAGTTGCACCCCTGCGCATCTGTGGAGTGTGGGAGTCCCTCCTGGGCTCACTGGCAATTTTTAACGGCTCATCTTCCTAATGGCTGCCCATCATCGGATTCTCCCCTGAGTTCTGCAGGGAGGGAAGGAAGCAAATAAAATGTAAGGCTAATCTGGAATTCTCTCCTGCATTAATGGTTAACTGAATCCAGAGCACTCAGATGCCCCATTAGGCAGCTTTGTGTTTCAAAAGATTTAGTCTTGAAGTCAGAAAACCTGTGGATGGGCTCCGCCTCATGTTAACAGCATAAACCAGTGGTTCTCAACCTGGGTGATTTTCTCCCAGAGGATATTTGGCAGTATCTGAGACATTTCGGATTGTCACAACTTGGGGGTGGATGCTACTGGCACGGAGGGGGTGGAGGTCAGGGGTCCTGCTAATTACCCTACCATACGCTAGAAGGCCCCCACTACAAAAAAGTGCCTGGGGGCACCTGGGTGGCTCAGTCGGGTTAAGCGTCTGCCTTTGGCTCAGGTCATGATCTCAGGATCTTGGGTTCGAGTCCTCCATCGGGCTCCCTGCTCAGCAGGGAGTTGGCTTCTTCCTCTCCCTCTGCCCCTGTCCCCGTTGCTCATGCTCTGTCTCTGTCTCTCTCAAATAAATAAATAAAATCTTAAAAAAAAAAAAGAAGTGTCTGGCCCCAAATGTCAATATTGCTGGGGTGGACAAACCATGTTGTAAACTTAGGCTTCAGTTTATCTATAAAGTGGAGTCAGTCTAGATCAGTGTTTTTCAAACTGAGTCACAACGTATGGATTTAAAATTAATGGCTGTAACCAGCATTTAAAGAAATTAAATGGAATAGAATAGAAAACCTTAGAAGGTGTCAGAGTGCATGGCACACGGGAAGGGTAAGTGATACGAAATGTGTGAGTGTATGCATACTGCGTCATGAAGTCAACTGTGTTTTTATTCCGCTTCCTGGGTAAAAATGTTTTAAAGCCACCTGTTTAGACCATCCCCAAGAGCCTTCTCACTGCCGTGGTGTTTTTCTTTCTTTCTCTCTTTTTTTTAAAGATTTTTATTTATTTATTTATATTATATTCAGTTAGCCACTGTATTAAAGATTTTTATTTTTAAGTAAACTCTACATCCAACACGGGGCTCGAACCCACGACCCCAAGATCAAGAGTCACATGCTCTTCCAACTGTGCCAGCCAGGTGCCCCCACGGTGTGTTTTTCTGTATTGAAGTCTTCTTCAGGGCACACTTTCAAAAATCTTCTTGCTGCCCTCCTGCTTTGGGTGTGGAGTGACTGCTCTTAGGGCCTCCTTCAGATGTTCAGTGTCAGGAATCCCGTAGGCTCCTCGCAGTTCAGTCCTCAACAAGGGTCCCAATCCAAGCTCCCCCCGGGTCGCTGGACAAGTGAAGATCCTGGGCAGCCAGCCCCACCTCCCCTGACAGGGCTCTGCCTCACACAGTCTCTGCTCAGCAGGTGCTCCCTGGCTTACTAATGCTGATCCCTCCCCGGGCACACAGAGCCAGCTCTTCAAATACTTAAACCAGCACCTGGTCTGAGTCCTGACTCTCTCACCACTCACTGGCTCCGTGACAATGGGCACGTTACCCCAAGTGTAGCCACCTGGGTGGACCCAAGTCCCATGGTCTGTGGGGTCAGGCTGCCTTCATTATTTACTTGCAAAGGGTGGGGGCTCCCATGCATCCCCACACAGTGGGAGCCTATCACCCTTACTGGGGTAGTGAGCTCTGGCTTTCCCACTGCACCTGCCCTCCGTGGAGCAAGCGACCATTTGGGTGATTCTATATCACCGAAAGCTCTGAAGAGCTGCAGATCTGCAGCTGCAGGGTGGTGGCCTACCCCAAGCTCCCTGATTGCATCGAGAACGTTCCCTACCCACCCTCCAACCACATGCTCCCTGGCTGACTCGTTCTCCAGAGCCCTTTTGAATCCCCATGAGAGGGTGGGAGATTCTGCAAGGAGAGGCGCACAGGGATTCCTCTTGTTTCCAGGAAGGAGATGCCTTTGGCTCAGAGGCAACATACTGGTTGAGTTACCCAGTGAGGCAGGGACAGGACCACCCCTCCATATGCTCTGTGACATTGGGCATGATGGCAAGGAAAATTGTGTTGATGAGGAGACAGGTTCTGTGGTCATAAGGGACCAGAGCCCCCGACTTCTTGGGCTCATCGTCCACCCTTTCCCACAGGCAGGTGGTGAATGGAACTGTGCCTGGGTGATGGAGCTGTGCATGGGTAGGCTCAGCTCCAGAACAGGCCAGGAGAGGAGCTGCGAAGGCCCAGAGGCACAGAAGGCTCCGGGGAGGGACTGCCAACTGGAGGTGGTCACCAGACTGTCCCATTTGCTTGTTTTTTTTCAAGATTTTACTGCGGAAATGTCCAAGTATTCAGAAACGTTCAAAGAATAAGACAGCGAACACGCATATGCCCACCACTCAGATTCTACCATTAATGTTTAATTCTGTTTGTCTGATCACCTATCTATGTGGTTGTGTTTATGTTTCTTTGGCTAATTTCCTGCCGTCAGAAAGTTTGCTTAACTGTTTAAAGATTTGCTTGCTGCAAAACTGTTCTAAGTGCAAATGCAGAGCAGGCAAGCTCCTCAGGCAAACAGGACAAAAACTCCTTTAATGTGGTTGGTGTCTCGTTTTCCTCCTGACAGTGTTGGTCCAGAGCTCTGCAGACTGTGGTTTGTGTGCTGTGGGTGGTCTGTAGGCCTTTCCTGGGGGCCCCTGAGCTGCTAAGAGTGGATCATTCAGGAAGCTATTCTTAGAATGGGCCAGTTTTTTACGTGTGACTCTCTCACTGAAATCTCACCAGAAGCGACTACATTTTCTGCTTGGCACATGCGTACGTGCGTGCGTGTGCGCGTGCCTGCGTGTGCGCGTGCGTGCGCGCCATAGCTCATCGCTGTCCTCTAGCAGCTCGGTCCCGCTCAGGCCTCAGCTGGGGAACTCCTCTCTGACTTTGTCAGTGGCCCAAGCCATGGCAGCTGAGAGAGAGAGAGAGAGAGAGAGAGCAAGCACAAGCAGGGGGAGAGGAGAAGCAGGCTTCCCGCTGAGCAGGGAGCCCGATGCGGGGCTCAGTCCCAGGACCCTGGGATCATGACCTGAGCTGAAGGCAGATGCTCAACCGACTGAGCCACCCAGGCACCCCAGTTCCACAGACATTCTTACCTCTTCTTTTGCTGAGCGGCTGGAGCCCACACTCTTCTAGGAGAGGGAATATTTCCTCATTTTCAAGGTTAACCTTTCGGCCTGGGTCCTTTGCCCCATTTCTGCAGGATCCCTCAGTCACTGAGCCCCATCTTTGACCCCCTTTTCTCCAGCATCTTCCATCTGCATGTGCACTGCTGCCTTTCATCTTCCCTATTTTCAGCAACTTCTGGGTCTCTGAGGCTGGAGACTCGGACTCCGCATGGTTCCTTCTGACTCCTTCACCTCCCGTGGCCAGTCAGAATCTTTGGAGAGGATGGGATTAGTCTCCATGGTGCTGCAGCAACTGGGGCTCCTGCTTGTTTTCCTGCTTTCAGGTCACTGCCCCCACCCTGGCCTCTGTGTTTGCCCCTCACAACTGAACCCTTGTTCAGAGGTGATTTTCTCATGTGTTCGCCTATTCACAGATCTCTCATGGCAATATTGATCATTTATTGCCTCCTTCCTGAGTTTCTCACGTGGGGTGAGGCACTTTGCCAGCAGGATCTCTAAAGGCCTCCCAGAGCATCAAATTCAGTAACCTGAAACAGAACTCATGACTCTCCATTTTATTTTATTTTTTTTAAAAAAGATTATTTATTTATTTGTCAGAGAGAGAGAGAGAAAGAGAAAGAGAGAAAGCACAAGCAGGGGAAGCAGCAGGCAGAGGGAGAAGCAGGCTCCCTGCCAAGCAAGGAGCCCCATGTGGGGCTCGATCCCGGGACTCCCAGGACCCCGGGATCATGACCTGAGCTGAAGGCAGATGCTTAACAGACTGAGCCGCCCAGGCACCCCAGGAATCTCCATTTTAAACAAAGAGCCCAGGGATTCTGGTTTGGGCTGTCCTAAGAGAACATTTTACAGAACTCTATCCTAGGGTACCTATTACAGATAACTCACAATGGTTCTTTTATGTGCCGCCTTACAGTATGGTCAATTGTTGCCTGCGTATCTTACTTAGAGTGTAAGCTCCCAGGGGTGCCTGGGTGGCTCAGTCAGTTAAGTGTCTGCCTTTGGCTCAGGTCATGATCCCAGGGTCCTGGGATAGAGCCCCTCATCGGGCTCCCAGCTCAGCGGGGAGTCTGCTTCTCCCTCTGCCTGCCGCTCCCCGGGCTTGTGCACTCCTTTTCTCTCTCTCTGTCAAATAGACGGATAAAATCTTAAAAACAAAAAAAAGATTGTAAGCTCCCAGAAGAAGGGGTCATGCTTTTATAGTTTTCTTTTGAGAAATAGAAGAGACTGTTAGTGGGCTATGTATCCAGAAGGCTTCAATAAATATTTTTAGATGAATGGAAAAATGAGTGAGTAAATGATATTTTTCGGAAGATTTTTATTGCCCATTTAAGTCCTTGGGGTGGGGGGAGTTTTCCACGGAGATGAGATTCGTGATGTACATAAGATGATTAGAAATAAATGTTCTGTCTTGGTAATAATCACTGACACTGACTCTTTTCTCTTTCAGGGGGCTTCCAAAATGGCAAGAGAGTGAGCCTCTCCGTGTATCTCGGAGAATTTTTTGGCATCCATTTGTTTGTCAATGGTACTGCGCTGCAGGGGACCCAAAAGTAAGTCAGAAGCCTGGAATGTCTGGAATATCCGAGTTAAAAAAGATAGGACGCGGGGTAGGGAGTTCGCCTGGGTGTCTCAGTTGCTTAAGTGTCTGCCTTCGGCTCAGGTCATGATCCTGGGGTCTTGGGATCGAGCCCTGTATCGGGCTCCCTGCTTAGTGGGGAGCCTGCTTCTCCCTCTCCCTCTGCCGCTCCCCCTGCTTGTGCTCTCTCTCTGTCTCACTCTGCACTCTCCTTATCTAATAAATAAATAAAATCTTAAAAAAAAAAAAAAAGGACCCTAGGGATCCCTCTTGCAACCCCTTGTTTTTTCAGCTGAGGGAGCTGGGCCCCCGAGAGAGGAAGTAAATGTGCCCAGGGAAGGCGAGTGGCAGGGCTTGGCGGGGGGAGCCCCGTGTCCCGACTCCCGGTCTAGGCCCTCAGCGACTTTGCACCAAGGTCCCAACGCTGGAGCATGGCTTTGGGGTTGAAAGGTGGGAGGGACACCCAGGAAACGCATGAGAAGCAGGCTTCCAGAGCTCATCCTTGTCCCTCCAGCATCTCTATGCCCTATGCCTCCAACGGGCTGTACCTGGAGACCGAGGCTGGATCCTACAAGCTGTCCAGTGAGGCCTACGGCTTTGTGGCCAGAATTGACGGCAGTGGCAACTTTCAAGTCCTGCTGTCAGACAGATACTTCAACAAGACCTGTGGGCTCTGTGGCGACTATAACATCTTTGCCGAGGATGACTTCAGGACACAAGAAGGTAAGCGTCTCTTGATACCATTTCCCTGGAGTTGTGGTCATGCTTGTCGTTTCCCCGCTTACAAACCTTCAGTAATATGCCCCCAGGCATGTCATGTTTATCCTGCCAACCTTAACTCTGAGCATTCCACCCCACTGCCTAGACCTCCCCCCAAACCACACTTTGGAGGTTGGTTGGTTCAACTTGGAACTGCCCACAGCAGGTTACACAGGATAGATGGTTGGTAGATGCTGGATGGTTTGAACAGACCCTCCGGAATGAGTTCAATAGAACTTCATGGAGGAAGTCTATAAAGGGTGGTCCACTGTCCAAAAAGGCCAGTCTAGGTGTGTGTTTGTGAGCAACAGAAGGTAACATGGACAATGCGGAAACCACTCCTCATCTTTAATCTTCTTTTGATAACTTCAATTACATAAACATTTAATGAGTGATGCTCCCTTACAAAAGCTGAACATTTGTACCTAAGTTCTTCTTCTTCCTTATGACCCAACTACCCTATGATTAAGGGGTAAACATCTAAAGAAACGGCTGACCATTCCCTTCATTTCACTGTATATGTTGGAAAATAGTAAGATCATTTGTATTTGTCTTCTCCAGCACTGATTTCTCGCTTTGTATCATCCTATATGTACATTTAAGGCTATACATTTTCCTCTAAATGCCATCTTAGCCACACCAATTTGATATTTTCATTTTCATTTAGTTCTATGGATTTTCTAATTGCCATTGAATTCTTTCTTAACCTGTAGAGTGTGTTCAAAATTTCCAGATGTTTAGAATTTCTAAAGTTATCTTTGGTAACTAAATTGATTTCTAATTTAGAAATTTGAGGAGATTTGTTTGTGGCCTCCTACATGATCTTTTTTGCAATTCTAGGTATGCTCCAAGAGAGTGTATTCTCTGATTGATGCAGGATTCTATATATACTTGTTGAATTAAGTTTGTTAATTGTGTTATGCAAATATTCTATATATTTACTACTTTTTGTCTTCTTCAACTACCCATTACTAAGAGAGTTGTATTAAATTTTTCTACAGTGGTGAAGAATATGTCAATTTCTTCGTGTAATTCTATCAAGTTTCCTTTATATATTTTGAGCCTTTACAATTAGATTTTAGAAATATTTAATCTAGTGAACTGTTCCTTTTATGTAATGACTTGTCATTTTTAACAATACCTTATGCCTTAAACTCTGACATTAATATATAGGCACCACCTTTTTTTAGGTTAGTATTTGCTTGACATATATTTTTTCATACTTTCAACCAGTCTGTGTGGTTTTATTTCAGATGTATTGCATGAAAGAAGCACATAGCTGGATTTTATTATTATTATTTTTAAAAGTCAGATTTATCGAGGTATAATTTACATACAGTTAAGGCCACCGTTCCAGGTCTAAGAGCTTTCACGAAAGTGGAGAGCCATGTAACTACCACAAACTATGGAACAGTGTCCTCCATCCAGAATTCTTGTGCTCCTTTGTAGGTGAGCTCTCCCTGAGCCCCTAGCCCTGGTAGCCACTGACCTTTTTTCTGTTCCTATAGTTTTGATTTTTCCAAAATTCATGTAACTGTAATCATACTGCACTTGGAGTATTTTGCCTTCCATGTCCAGCTTCTTTCACTTAACGTCATCCACTAGGGATCCATCTGTGTTGTTGCATGTATCAAGAGATTGTTCCTGTTTGTTGTTGAAGGGTACTACCACAATGTGCTTATCCATGCACCCAAGAAAGGACATTTTGTCGTGTCTAGTCTTTGGCAATTATGGATAAAGCTGCTATAAACATTCATGCAGGGGCACCTGCGTGGCTTAGTCGGTTAGGCATCCAACTCTTGATTTCAGCTCAGGTCATGATCTCAGGGTCGTGAGATCAAGCTCCGTGCTGGCGTGGGGACTGCTTAAGATTCTCTCTCTCCTTCTCCCTCTGCCCCTCCCCCCACAAAAAATTCACATATAGGGTTTTTTTCTCCTCCATTTAAAAAATTGTGGTAAACACACATAAAATGACATTTACTGTCTTACTCATTTTTCAGTGCACACTTCAGTGGCATTAAGTACATTTCACATTATGATGCAACCAGTCACAGTGTCTGTCTCTGGAACTCTTTTTCTCTTGCAGAACTGAAACTCTATACCCACTAAGCAATAACTTCCTGTTCTTCCCTCCTCTTCCCCAGCCGCTGGCCACCACCAGTCTACTTTCTGTCTCTGTGATTCTGACTACTCCAAGTACCTCATGTAAATGGAATCATACAGTATTTGTCTTTTTGTGACTGGCTTATTTCGCTTAGCACAATGTCTTTACAATTCATCCATGTGTTGTGGCATATGTCAGAACTTCTTTTTTTTGTATTTAAATCATTTATTTCAACACAGGCATTGTTTTAAATTTGCACCTTGTTTGGTAACATATTTCAGCATCTAGAGAACAGGTTTGAGAACAACAACATAGAAGGATTATTTGTCAACAATTTAACAAAAGTGCTTACGGCCCGTTTGTTTCAGAAACACAGATGTGCCAGTCACAAAGAGCCATGAAGGAAGTGGTAATACACTCACAAATTTGCTTGGAAAGTACAAGATTACATATTTACCCTGTACATGTAAGTGGGATATTCTGAAGCAGTATTGCTATTATTAACAATAAACCCTTAGGAAGAAAGTCACTTTTTTATCGCCGTATAATCAACATCCAGTGTTATATTGGTTTCAGGTGGATAACATAGTGATTCAACACTTCCATACATTACTCAGTGCTCATCAAGATAAGTGTAATCACCATCTGTCACCAAACCACGTTTTACAATCTTACTAGCTATACTCTGTCCATGCTGTACTTTTCACCTCTGTGACTTATTTATTTTGTGACTGGAAGTTCATACCTCTTCATCCCCTTTAGCTCAGAATTTCCTTCATTTTTAAGCCTGAATGTACATTGTATGTATCTACCACGTTTTGCTTATCTGTTCATGCCTTGAGGACACTTGGGTTGTTTTCATGTTTTGCTAGAGTGAATAATGGTGTGCAAATATTTTTTGAAGACCCTGCCTTCAGTTCTTTTGGGTAGATATCCACAGTTGGAATTGCTGGATCATGTGGCAATTCTTTTTTATTTTTTTTAAAGATTTTATTTATTTATTTGAGACAGAGAGAGAGAGCACAGAGGGAGAGTGAGAAGAAGAAGCAGACTCCCCCGAGCAAGGAGCCTGATGCAGGGCTCGATCCCAGGACCCTGGGATCATGACCTGAGCTGAAGACAGACACTTAACCGACTAAGCCACCCAGGCGCCCTTCATTCTTGTTATTTTAATGTAACCTAATCTCTCCTGTCTTCTTACTGGGAAGTTTTGCCTCTTTTCATTCATTTTATATTCAGTTGTGTTGTTGATGTATTTCATTTTCTATTAATCATCTTATTTTGTGCTTTCTACTATTACTGCTTTTAAAAATGTTACTTCTTTCCTCACTACCTCACTGAGCCCTCCACCTTGTTTGAATACCACTAAATTTGGCATTATTATTATAGCTTTACACAGTCAGTGCTTCTTTAGATATATCTTCATGTGTAACAGGTTCTTTGCTCATAATTTCTCCTTGTATTTTATTCTTATCTTCTAGGTCCAATTGCTATTTTTCTAAAAAACATCCCTCAGTACTTCCTTCATTCAGGGTCTGATAGTGATAACTGGAACGAACTGCCCCTCATTCTTACATGATACTTAAGCTAGGTATAGAATTCTAGGACATCAGTTATTTCTCATAGTACTTTGAAGGTGTCGTTCCATTGGTGCTCTTGAGAAGTAGATTGTCAGTCCAACTGTTATTTCATTGCAGATCATATCATTTATCTTTGTATACAAGTCATCTCTTTGTTCTTGGCATTCTGAAATTTTACTATGTTGTGTCTAGATGTGGGTTTTATTTTTATTATCTTTTTTAAAAAAGATTTTATTTATGTATCTGAGAGAAGAGAGAGAGAGAGCACAAGTCGAGGGGGAGAGGAGGAGGAGGGAGAAGCAGACTCCCTGCTGAGCAGGGAGCCCACTGTGGGGCTCCATCAGAGGACCTTGGGATCATTAACTGAGCCAAAGGCAGATGCTCAACTGACTGAGCCACCCAGGCGCCCCAGTTTTATTTTTATTATCTTGCTTGAGACTGTGATTCCTGAAACTGAGGACTCCTATCTTCCATCAGATTTAGAAAAATTTCAGTCATTTTCTCTCCATCTTTTAGACATATATTGGATATTTTTATTCCATCCTTTTTTTCCCCCCTCATTACCTTACTTTCATTTTTCTATCTCTCTATTCCTCTTTGTTGCTTTTTGGGTAGTGCAGTCATGCTGGCTGGTGAGAACTGATTGTGTGGGTCTTTTCCAAGTCTGCATCCAGTTGTCATGTTTGTAGTTTGAAATTGGCCATGGTGGGAGTATCTGCAGCATGGAAATCAGCAAATCCTAAAAATTAGGACTTTGCTTTTCCCCAGACAGATGGCTCATCAGCACATCACTACTTAGAGCTCTCTTCTGGTTCACTAATTCCCTCAACTCTAATTTCCAGATAATGTCTAACCCATCAGTTGGGTTTTCTTTCTATTTCCATGACTATATTTGTAACTTTAGAAGGTAAATTTGGTTCTTCTTCAACTCTATTGTTTTTTCTTATTGTCTTGTCCTTGTATTAGGTTTCAATTTCTTCTTTATAACAATAATTTTATTTGTTTTATAGCCTCCATACAAAGATGGTATTATCTGAAGTTTTTGGAGTTCTTGTGGTATGTTAGAAAGTGAACAAGCCTGTGTGACATGGTAACTAAGAACCCAGGGGGCACTTATCATAATGCCTGGCACACAGTAGAAACTCCAAAAATTTAAATTCCCTTTGACTTCTCCCATGGATTAAAACAACAGCAGTTTATTCTCTCACAAGGTCAGGAGGCCCAAAGTCTAAAATCAAGGTGTTCGTAGGCCTGCACTCCCTCCGGAGGCCCTAGGCAAGAACCTGTTCCTTGCCTCTTCCAACTACTGGGAGTAATCCTTGACTTGTGGCCACATCCCTGTCTCTGTGTGTGTCTCTGTCTCTCCTCCCACTGCCTCTAAGGCCCACTTAGGTGATCCAAGATACGCTCTTCCTCTCAAGATCCTTAAAACCTTCATCACATCTTTTGCCCTAAAAGAGAATATTCATAGGTTCCAGGAATTAGGAAGTGAATCTTTGAGGGGGGGCATTTTCCCTGCTCACCACATGCCACATGCCAACTGACAATACTTTCAAGGTCCTGCCTTTCTTTCCCCAAGGACAGTTTCTTTTCTATTCTCAAGTACATTATTTGGCCTTGAAACATGCTTCACTCTTCCGGACCTGGTTATGCAAAAGGACTGTTTGCCTCAATGCTCCATTAGTCCCTTTGCAGTGAAGACTCAGAAGTGGTATTCCTTTGCCATGGAAGCCCATAGGCCCTCCCTCTGTTGTGGGAGCTGATGGTGGCATGATCGGTATAGCACTAAGGCCCCAACGCTGTGAAAGCCCAGGGGATGCAGTGACTGGGGGCTCAGGTTCCATGTCACATTCTTCCCTTCAATCTGCAAAAATATTTTGAGTGTTTACAAAGCGCCAGATAAGAAGCCAGAGATAAGAGACACAGCCTGTCCCCTGAATTAGGGAGCTCATGGTCAGACAGAGTATGAATATAAACAAAAAGAATACTAACACAAAGGGCGATGGGAGTTTTGATGGAAGGATGGCGGGGGTGCTGAGGGAACACAGGCTGGGACAGGGGGCTGGGAGCAGAACTCGTTCAGAAGAGCTTCCTGGAGGAAGTGGCTCTGGAGCTGCATCTCAAAGAATGTGAGGAGACAGTCAAGGTACTGGGGGTGGAGAATATTCTGCACAGAGGGGAAAAGCACGCAAGGACATGGAGACAGCGTGGATGGGCATGCTCCTCATCGTCTTCCTCACTGTGTGCATCCATCCAGCCACCCCTCACCACACACTGGCTAAGCCCTGGGGCTTGTGCCCTGTGGTATTCCACTGAGTGCTGCACAAAAGGTAGTCCCCAGCCCAGGCGCTTGTGTACCCATCTAACAGAAGGTTGATTTGGGTGATGACAGACCTAGACTTTTCACTCAGAAGTCCTGGGTCAGGCTTAACTGTGACTTCGTTCCTGAAACCTTCTCCACAGGGACCTTGACCTCGGACCCCTACGAATTCGCCAACTCCTGGGCCCTGAGCAGCAGGGAACAACGGTGCAAACGGGTGTCCCCTCCCAGCAGCCCATGCAATGTCTCCTCTGAGGAAATGCAGCAGGTGGGTACCTCTGGGGTGGTCTGAGGGGAGTGGGACTCCTGGGAGTGAGAGGCAGAAAGTCATCTGAGGCCTCAGGTCCTCCATCGAGGTGTACAGTGAGCCTACCTCTGTGGGTCCCTCTGGCTCTTCAAAGAAGGGTTCCCACGGGCAACCATTTTCTCCTAAAAACCAACTGTGGCCGGAGTCTGGTTAGCTCGAATCTAACACTGTTCTGGACCTGGAACTCTGAAAATGGGTCTAATGAGTTGGTAGAGTGAGTGACTAGACTTTTCTGTTTTGCACTCTAATGCCCTCTCTTGTCCCCAAATATCTCCATTATCACCTGCCACCTGTCTGAAATTCTGCAACAGGAACCTATTCCTTTTTAGGTGTTCAACAAGTGGTTATTGTAAAGTACAACTAGGAGGGCAAGGCACCATAGTCTTACTGGCACATCAGCAGGAAGGGGGTTACTTTATCGTCAGGGAAGCTGAGGGAAGAGGAGGGAGGGGTGGGCCTGAGGTGTCCAACCTGGGCATGATAATATTTTCCTGAGGCTGTGGTGTCAAATTAGTCAGAAAATTAGTGGCTTACAGCAACGGAAACGTATTCTCTCATGTTCTGGGAGCCAGAAGTCTGAATTTAGTTTTCCTGGGCCAAGATCATGGTGCCACTAGGGCCGCTCTCCCCTGGGAGCCTCTGGGGGGCAAATCTTTCCTTTTCCAGGTTCTGGTAGCTGTGGCATTCCGTGGCTTGTGGCTGCATCAATCCAGTCACTGCCTCTGTGGTCCCATGGCCTCCTTATCATCTGTGTGCCTCTGTCCTGGGACTCAGTACCGATGGTGGCACCTCCCCTCCCTTTCCGCACAACCCCTATTTCTAACCATATGGTAGCTCATTAGCAGCTTCTTCCCCTTCAGAGTTGCTCCTTATGACCCCACTACCAGAACCGCCCCCTTGGAGAGGAGGGGGTCTGGTGGGAGAGAGTGGGCAAGACTGCACTCTGCCTCTAACTTCTCCAGGGGTGGACTTGTGCCACGGTGGGTGGGGTGTTGGGAAGGTGATGCTTCTGAAGGGGAAGGACCTCCCTTGATGGATGAACCCTCTCCCCCTTGGGGTCCGGCTGCCGGGGCTGAGAGAGGAGAAGCAGCATGGCTCCGGGGTGAAGCTGGGCCCTTGTCAGCACAGGGATGGTCCTACTGAGGCTGTGCGCACACACTCACTGTCTGGGGGACAGGGTTTCTTGGAGGTGGTGTAAGTCAGGTCCCCCATGCCGGGAGTGACTGGGGACCTGTCAGGAGCAGCGTGAGAGAGAGGGACTGAGAGAGGCAGTGCTGGGCGGTGGGGAGGGTGAACCGCCATGTACTCAAAACTGAGGTCTCAGCTGATCATTCAGGGAGCTCTGAAAGCTGGGGGGCCCCCAGGCAAGCCTGAACTGACCAGCTGGTCATCGGATGTAGGCTTCCTTTGGGCAGGGAGGCGGGATAGTCTCTTGGACTGAGGGCAACGCATGCAGGGACGCAGCTGTGAGCCCTCAGCAGCTAGCACTGCTAGCCGTGAGGGTATGCGTCCTTGGCTTTGAAGGGCATCTGCGCTGCACGGGACAGCCCCTGTAGAATGCTGTTCCCCAGCCCCCACCCAGGGAGCAGCCGCCCTGTTCCAGCCCACAGCAAAAGGACAGCCCCTGCTTATCCCCGGGCCCACCGCCCTGACAGGATTCGGCAGGCCACGGTGGGCCTTTCTAGTTCTCCAGAGCTGTGAGGAAACCGAAGCCACGGGAGGCTAAGTACCTGCGCAGAGTCGCCAGCTAAGAAGCTGCAGAGTCAGAGTTCCCCATCTCTGCCTCCCCCTTGGCTGCTGTTTGGCCTCATTGCCTCAGGCTGCTCATTATCTCTGCCTGTGGTCCTTGGGTTTTCCCTCAGGAGATGGCTTCCAGGATTCTTATGGTTCCTTTCAGCTCTAGAACTCTCTGCAGGTTTCTGTGGATTGGGCTAGAAAGACAGGTTCCAGTAAGTCTCAGTAAACATTCATTGGGTGGATAAATGCGGAGTCCGTGGTGCTATGTGTCTGGGGATTGGGACTACCTTCACGGTATCGATCACCCGTCAGCAGCTTGCAGAAGTCCGATTTACCCAACTCTGCACAGGAGTAGGGAAATTCCAGCCATCCCCTACCCCAGAAGCAAAAGACACACACACACACACACACAGTCCCCTACCTTAGCATGAGAGACCTTCATTGCTAGCTGGTTATTCATGCAGTGAGTCTCTTCCAGATTGTTCCATCAGAACCAAGGACTTTGTCAGGCACAGGAAAATACTCTAGCTTGATATTTAGTCCAGCTGCCTAGATTGTAAACACAATTTCCAATTTCTAAACAAGCACATTCCAAATGCCTCCTTTTCTTGGGTTTCCAAGGTTTCAGTGGTGCTAGGTTTCCGGCTTGTCCATAAACATCTGTGTCACCTGGAACGTAGCCCAGTACTGGCAACCAACTAAGGCCAACCAAGTTCTAACACCCGGGAGGAGGGTGTTGTTGTGTGGAAGAGGGTAGTTTACTCTTCTTTCCAGGAAAACTTTTGAAATATCTGGTGCATGCCCTTGGTAGCCCCTTGATTTTTTCTCCTCTGTGGGTCTCAGCATTATGCTAAGGATATGGGCTGGGGGTCAGGCCACTTCCTGGCTTTGTAACTCTGGGGGAGACACTTGCCTTGTCCGAGCCTCAGTTTCTACATGTGTAAAATGGGCATAGGAAGAGCAACCCACAGGGCCAATGCAAGGATAAGAGAGAATATGTATGGAGTGTTTAGGGCAGTGGGGCTCAATTGTATGAGCTGTTCTTGTTATTATTAATATTATTATTATTATTTATTGACCCCTGGTGTCCTCCCGCTGTCTTTTCTCGAGGCTGCAGTGGCCATACCATGAGAATGGGAAGAGGCCAAACACACACAGCGCTCGCTTTAAGCATAAGCTCCAAAATTCTTTCCTTTCTCTTTTCCTCCCCTCCTCCCAATTATAACTCAGTTCCTTTTGGGGAGCTGAGCACAGCATGAGGTTAGAAGGAGAGAAGGTGTCTAAACACATTCATGCTGAGGGGCAGGGTAAGTGACAGAAGCCAAATTTTCTTCTAGAGCTGCTTGGTAACCCCAGTGAATTTTAGATGGAGTGCCCTCCAGGAATCATGTGCAGTGAGGGGCAGGAAGAGAGATTTTGATCATTTCTGTCTTTTATTTCCTGACTTACTGTTTTGTGGCTAGCAGGCGGTTCCCCCGCTCCTGCCCTTCAGTGTTCTCTAGGCAGGGGTGGGGTTAAGGCAGGGGTGCCTCAGTGGTGAGGTGGGGTTGCAGGCCATATAAGTACTGAATTGGCTTTTCGAGGGCATGGACTTTGTGTCACTGTATTTTGCAAACATGGGCCAGTGCCAAGTAAGCTGGACAAATATTCCCCTACCCTTGGAGTACAAAGGGATACTCTCACCTATCCATAAGAGGTGGGAGGTGAAAATGATTTTCAAATGAAGAACCTGATACTAGGCGGAGTTGAGGAAGCAGATAGGACACTCTGTCTCCTGGGGACAAAGGGGAGGGAGGGAGGAAGAATCCAAGAGAAGCCTTGTTTTTCTCCAGGGGTGCTTTTTGAAGGCTCCAGCTGCAGGCTTGCTACTCACTTTGTCTCTTGGGTGCGTTGAAGTCCTTACTAACCAGTGTCCTGGGAGCAGCCTGAGAAATTGGTTACCAAGTTCTTAGTGCTGGGCTGAGGCCCCCAAACACGCCAGACCTCCCCAGGCACAAGCTTCTTTAAGCTCAGCACTAGTATGAGGTTGTTTACTGAGAAGACAGACCTGGCTTGGTCTCAGCCAATCAGGTTGTGTTCACCCAAGATCGGGGCACCCTCACTGGCTGGGAAGCGCAATGACTCATCTCCTGGGAGGTGATTAGTGCTGGCTTTGGAATTGTTCTCTGCCTGCTTCGTTCATCCCCTGGGCCCCTGGGTTCAGAAGTCAGGTCTGGTAAATGGGCATTACATACAAGCTCTTGCCATTGTGGCTCTAAGGACCATTTGCAGTGGCAGAGTGTTCCGGGGAAGGCTACATTGACCAAAGAACTTTTCTTGAGAGCCGCCAGAATCTATTCTCCCCGCTTCTCTGGCGCTCTCCTTCTTTCCACACTGTAGCAAGGAGTCAGCTAATTCTGAGCCAGGTCATATTACTTATACCTAGGGGATGAATGTTTCCTTGTTATGCCAACAAAACCCTGGAGCCTCTCTACTGGGACTGAATAATGGCTTGTTTGATTGCATGCAAATTTCCAGTATTTTTTAGCTTTTGAAACAGAGGGCAGGGCTGCTGGAGTCTGGAGCTCAGGGTGCAGACCTAGTAATAAAAAGCCCCAAGCTCTAAATGCTCAGATAATTGATGTTAATTTGCAGGTAACTCTACTGTATAATGAACATTTTAGAAAGATTCTTAGGTTGCCTTTTTTTTTTTTTTTTTTTAATTCACATTCTGTTAGTCTGGGTACTGTCAGCAAGGGCTGAACCTTATGAAGGGATCCTGTCTTTGTCCTCAGTCCTCACTACAACAGGAAGCTGCAGCTAGTCCACCCAATATTCTTACTAATTAGAAAAAGGTGCCCCTTCCTCAAAGCACTTTACCACTGCCTGTTGGGAAATTGCCATAATAAGCATTAGAAGTGTGCATAGAATGTACGTGTACCTGTGTGGTGTCTACAGTGTGAACAATAACCCCCCAGCATGTTGCCACCATGCACTGGATGCCCTGCAGAACTATACTAAATGGCTGTGACCTTGACCTCGCTTCCACTGGGAAACGTTGCTGCAGCCATCCTCCTCCAGGATCACCTCTCCCAGACTGGGAAGGCCATTTCCTGCTTTTGCTGCTGCCTTCTGAATGTGAGGACACTTTCAGGCCCCCAGCCCCAAGAGTTCTCTCCGTATACCTCCCCAGAGTTGGTCCTCAAGATGACCAGTCTTTCTTGAGAAGACCGAGTACACCATTT